CAACACGACATTCCCCTCAGCTGCACGCTCCGGCCCTAACACTGCCCGCTTTGTAAGGGATGCCACAACTTCAGCTACATATCTAACAGCTATAGACTTCTCATAAAATTAAAGTAACCTTTATACTTTAAGAGTAAACTGAATGTTCAATGGTGTCCCCATAGTGTGGTCACAGGGCTGCCTATTCTAGGATTCATCCCATGCAGGTAGCTCCAGCTGGATCCTCAGCTAGAGCAGGGACCAGAACAAAAGTCTCTGCATTGAAAGAAAATTATATATAATAAATTATCTCTTCTCTAAACTCTACTGCTTTACTCAAGTACTGTCTCCCAAGGTTGTTAATATACACTCTTCAACACTCACTACTAGATATATTTGTAAGGAGGGAAATTACATGAGAAAATTCAAATTGGCACCTTTTTTTTCTTTGGGAAAGTTATTTTGGGTGTGAAATTAAAAAAGCAACAGAAAACATGAAGAACAGGTAAATGTTACAAGGGACGGTTTCATGAGAATGTGCTGTTTACTATTCAAGGAGGTAAAGTGAAAAATAACACTTAAAAATGAGAATATCCTTTTCCTTACTTATTTTACTCCATCCTGTTAAAAATGTTGCTACCTGGCCTCTAGCAAGCACTACCATGAAACTTCTAATTAAAAGTGAAGATCACATCTCCTATTTTCTAATAGTCTGTGTTTTCCCTTTGAGTATTTCTCTCTCTATAGAAACCTCGTTGCTTTAGACGGCTCAGTCGTTCCACGGCGATGCCAGGGGAAGGCTGAGCACCCCTTGCAAGGGTGGACACAGAGGAGCCAAGGCTGAGCGCCGGCTGCGTCTCCAAGCTCTGTCCATCCTGCCAGGTTTTAATCTTGGTGAGACTGGACCAAAACCACAAACTTTTCAGCAGAATAGGACAGCAAATGGATCTCTCAGAAAAGGCTAAATTGGCCAAGTACCATCCTGGCTCTTTGGCAGTTAAGTTTTTACCAGTCCACTGAATTATCAAAGTGAGGTCCTCCCTCCTTCAACAAAGTCACAGCATAAAAAGGACTAATTAGTGCATTATGAAAATGCAAAAGTCCAAGGATGATATTTGGTGCATTTCTGTACTGGAACCTGAAATTAATTTCCTTGTGCTGAAGTTTAGATAGGTGCATTGAAAAAAAAAAGATGACTTGATTAACCTGTCTGCTTGGAAGTTCTTTACGGGTCACCAGTAATATTGTTTTTGTTATTTTGACTGACATTTCACTTTCTCTTAAGTGCACTGTAATTTTGCTCTAAGAAAAAATTAACTATACAGAATGTTTTATTTGAAATCTTCAAAGTATTTTGCATTTTTGTTTCTTCTTCACACACATCTCTTGTTCTATAAGTCTTTTTATAACATGGAAATTAAAAGCAGTAAAGATATAGAGCATTAATAATACTTCATTTAGGTGATGTGTTTAATTAATGTGAAAAAATTCATCATTTTATTCTGGCTATCTAGACAGTTTAAACAACAAAGTTTCTTATAAAGCATGAAATGGGTGCCACAGCCTACAGAACTCCGTTGCAAAGTTATTTGGATTCTTTCTGATCTTGGAAGTTAGACTACATGTTTACTTTTATGTGTGTGTGTGCATTTTTATACATACACTTATCAGGACGATTATCAAAGTCGTGTCAGATATCACAAGGTCACATACAAACTACTTGGACAGAAATGACAAATTTTACTTTGAAAGGAAAAGAGCATTGCCTGGGTTTCTAATGAGAAGAAAGTACAGTTAAATTGAACAATTTCCCATTTAACTCCATCCCTGTAACTTATCCTGATCTTCTGAAATATTCATGAAAGGGTAATTATTGCCATTTATGGTCAAAATAAAATGCTCTTAATGACACATGATTTTATAGCAGACACTATTTTTTTCCCTTAGCAGTTGTCCATTTATTTGACTTGCACTTGACTCCAGATTATTATTGCCCTCAATGTTTTCAGATGGGAACATTTAGGGAGAAAAATATGTTATTAGGACCAAAATTGATCATAGAAACAGTGACTTTTTGAATAAACAGAGGGAAACATTTTTGATCGAAAATGCATTATCTAATGCTATGCTTAGACAGCCTGGGATCATGTTTATCTAAATCACCACCGGGTTTGAAATCACATTTATTAAACAGCTTTCACAGGCAGCTCCCTATAATCCTGCCCTGACTCTCTCCACAGCTGGATTCCCTGGCGCCGGCCAGCAGGGAGGTATCTTCTGCAGAGATTATCTGTCAGCAGCAAAATGATGTTTAACTCACAGCAAGACATTCAGATGTGTCAGTGCACTGACTGCAGCCGACAGCAGCATGCGACATCTTCCCTTCCCCCAGCAATTTCTTTTCCCTCTAGCACTTCCATGGTAGCGCAATTCTACCCTTCCAGGGACGAGGCACCAGTTACCCCGAAAGGTTTTCATCCGCTGCCTGTGGCCATTCTCCCAAATGCAATTACAGCAGCGGGACCAGGACAAAACAGAAAGTGAAGTAAACAAGAGATGATATCCTCCTGCCTGTAAGCTTTTCTGTTTGAACTAAACCAAAACAGTCTCTCCTCTTAAAGAAAAAGTTCTCCTTGAAAACGTATTTCCCTTGGGTACTGTGGGGCTCATCAGTCCTAAGATTCTCCTGTCTTAAAACTTCTGAAGATTATTTTGCATCATAAATAGGAAAAATATGATACGATTAGCAACTTGGTCTCTCTAAGCTTTTTCAATAACTTATTCTATGTTGTTAGTGCAAATGTCTTTTTCACTCTTCAATGAACTAAGGAAATGTAAACCCTCCCCGAAGTTTTCCTCTCAAAAATGCAACTGTGCAATAATTACCACACACAAAAATTAGCATGTACATAAGAGTGACTACATCAGAAAAACGCTGTACTAGCTATGCTGTTATAAAACAAGACACATTTTTCTTTCTAGTTTACTATCTTCAGTACTTTCCTTATATGACAGAGATCATACTCGTATTCTTTACTCAAGTGTGATTTATAACCTGCAGCCAACAGGCAGCCATGGAAGATGCCTCAACTATCATGAAATGCTGCCCTATAACTCCCTTACCCTCAGAAGAAACAGAGCTGGTCACTCTCAAAGAAAATCCATGTTTCTCCAAGTCTAGGAGGGAGAACTTGGCTTTCTAAATGACTAGGCCATATAGCAAAATCCTAAACCTTCCCTTCACTATTTCTCTAGAAGGAGCAGTCAGACAGCAGCAGCTTTTCTTCGCAGTACTCTCCACAGCATGACTTTGATGCACATTTCTGAGAGCACCATACACGCTCCTCACTCGTGGTAAGTGATTTCAGCAGGGCTGACTCCACTGGCACTGCCTGGGAGCTCAGGGAGACGCAGCACGTAATGAACCCGGCCAATATTCACTGACCTGCAGCTTCCCTGCACCATCCCTCCCCAAGCTCTGTTGCACCCTGCCCTCGAGCACAGCCCTGTGCTGCTACCCGTGAGGCGGCCTGAGCAGCCGGGGAGCAGAGGCCCTGAGCTGGAAGCTCCCGCTCCAGGCCGCAGCTGCAGAGCTGCGTGGCTGCCGGAGCTCAGCAATACTTTCCCACAGGCTTGGCTATGCACCTATGGATCTAGTTTGCTTCCCGCTTGGATACTGTTCATGCTTCAGTTATCATGCACAAAATTAGTGATAAGCAATATTAACCAGAGCACTCTGTACTGCAGTTCTGCCCAAGAGGGTTGATAACAGATCCCAGTCTCTTCACGCTTTTTGCTTTTACAGGAAGCTGAATGACTGCTTTCCGGCAAAGCAGGAGCAGAGGAGTGTTCTAAACTTCACGTTAATGCAGTGTCACATCCCTCTTCCACCTTCGCTGGGAGCTTTCAAAGTCTTGGTGGAAATGCTAAAATGGAAAACCTCTCTGCTGGTGCCTTTTCAGCAGAGCAGTTATCATGCAGAAATAAACAGCACGGATATTTTAGCAGCTTGCCATGCATAAAAAATGCATGGTCTTCAGAACACTGCCACTGATAGCAATTAGCATGTGTTTATATGTCTGTGAATAACTGTATTTTTACCTGGTTATTGCAGGCTGTGTAAATAATCTTGCAGCCTAATGTGCTACAAGCTTAGAGATTTCTTAACCTAATGCATTCCATTAAGAACAGCAATAATTGCAGGCTGTCATTCTTCTATGGTAAAGGAGATCTAGAATACCCTTTTGGAGCCTCCATCCTTGCTCTCCACCACTGTTCGAGGCTGTTAGGAGGAAATAATTAGCTATCTTCATAAACTCTCTCCCATATTGTTGGAGTGCATTACTTTCAATATATGTTCTTTCCCCTTCAACTTGAATTCACATGGTCTTAAATTTTCTAATTGTCCCAATAATCTCCAGTGTCACCACATTACCACTGCTACTACACGTTCTTTGTTTATAACCCTGCTTCCCTTTTGCTCCTTCCAAACGATGCCAACACTAATTCGTAAAACACTTCTATCAAAGCAGTATATCCAAAGCCCTGCAACAACAAATGCAACTCTTGCCCCTTTGACCAAAAATACCAACTATACAAAGCAATTGTAAGGACCGCCAAGAACCACAGGAGGAGACATAAGTTTGCCTCTTGAGCACTGTCCTTATGTCTTGTATCTTTAACTCTACCTACAGACAACCTAGGAAACCACTTCTCAAAATGCCAAAGCAGTTAATTTTGCAAACCCTTATCCTCATCAAAACAACCGCATTAAATGGAAGCATTTTCAATAGTTGCTTTGTATTAGAGCACACCCACGCAGCTGTAGATGAATAGAGAACAACCTCTACCCGTTGAGCAAAATACAAACTGTTGAATTCATTAGAGGCCTAGAACAATAGCCTCAGCATATACCAGTCTACTGACTTAGTACAAATGAAGTCATAAAATCCAAACTAAGTCATTCAAGTGCCCTCTTTGAGAAAGTCTTGTAAAAATAAGCGGAGCCAGATGATACTCACAGGAACACTAGCTGACTGCATGGTTGGCCATCCTGCCTCAGAAACCAACATCAGTTCCTCCAAACAGCTCTGAATTCCTGCACAAAGAGAAAAGGACAAAATCTTTGTATGTTGGATGTATCTACTTGAACTTTCTTCTTCTTCATAAATCTCCCTAGTGCTTTAGATAAGACATGAATCTGGGTGAGCTATAATACCTCAAAGTCAAGAGTCATAGCACAAAGCAAACCCACAACCAAATCTGTCACAAAAGCTTCATAAAACAACCCACAAAACTTTGTCAGAAAGGTAAATATCTCTCCTCCTTCTTTGGCCCCTTTGCAAGCATCTACTGACTTCCATCTGGATAGGCACAGATCTCCTCAGGGAGGCAATTAGACACCCACTCATCCAAAACTCTTCTGTATCTTCACCATGCAAGAATGGCAAGAAACTACAGCATCAAGCATTGAGACATACAATCCCATCAAGTCTTCCCCTAAAGAAGATGCTAATGGAAGCCAACAAGAACAACTTCAATAGTCCCGACCTGTTTCAAAGATGAAGCAACCAAACCATAGAGACCATGAGTCTGAAAGGCAGCTCACAAATCTCCAAGAGCAGTAGAATTTGCAAAGATTCATAAGAAAGATTTATATGTCACATGACTGGTTATATTTCAGCAGCTGTCATTTCTTGGAATACCAGTTGGAGATATTATTATTTATTCCTACCTTTATAGAGCCCCAAATTCATTACATTATACGGGCAGGCATTAAAGCCAGTACCAAAAACAAGAGTGGAAGTGTGCGGGAAGGAATAAGTCACATGTACAGAATGAAGGTGCTACTTGGAATTGATTTGAATGGGCATTGCCTGGTTTGATTTTGAAGTTTTAGGTTTACTTCCAGGTCAGCTTGTAAGTTAGTTAATTTGGCTAATGGGTTTCTACATGCTATTCTTTAGAACAAGATATACATACACACACACACACACATATATATATATAAGATCACGCTCCCCTGAAGTGATTACTAAATTTACAGAAAATTTGTTATAAAATAAGACTTCTGGGGTTGCTCTTGAGGGCCTTCCAGGAACTACGTTACTCAGAATTTCCTTGTGTTGGTACAAGATGTTGCTTGGAGCTTCGCAAGACCAGCTGAGGTCATCCCATCTGCTGGGATTTTCCGAAGGTTTTGCTTCTGCTCCAAGCCCTGAAAATGCTAGTTCCTTGAAAAGATGTAAACAGAGAGCACAAAAGGGGAACCCTATGGATGGTAAAGCTGTAGCTAGAAAGCAGTAACTATGAGCTTTTCCCTGTTATTGGGAGGAGGAAGGTGGATGAGTGTGAGGAGTGTCTCAGTCTCTAGTAACTTGGACTCTCGTCATCATGTTCCCCATTCTTCTCTGTGCCAGCCCCACTGTGCTCTGGGACCTGGTTTGCAAATACCTCCTCCCATTGCATGGGAAGTGAGCCAGGAATAAAGCTCTTACTGAGAGTGAGAATGAACAACTTTTTTGCTCTCATTTCACCCAAAGGCAAGCTGCCTGAGAGCCGACCACAGTGTTTTCATAGGAGTTTATCATGAATATGTTTAAAAACAGCATCTGCATTCCAGTAAAAATGGCAAAGACTGCTGGGTCCCAGTAATGTTGTTTCCATTCTTTGTGCCTTGATTTAAAATCTACAACAAACCCCAAGTCTCGTACACAGGCTCATGCTCTCAAGTCCTCAAAGAAGCGGGAGGCTCATCCCCTTTGCTTTCATGACCAAGATGTGTTTTTGTTACTTAGCAGCTTTCTAATTCATAATTAGAATGCATAGGCATAATTTGGGCCTGCTTATAGTAGAGCTTCCCCTGCAAGCAAGGCATTTACGCTCAGACTTTCAACCTCCGCAAGGATTTAGCAGCACCTAATCCACTCGTTTTAGCAGATACTGAGGTGTTGCTATCAGTGCTGTGAATAACCCTGACACCTACATCCTGGAGGCATAAATGGGTTCAGCAAGAGCAGTGTCACAGCTAGACCAGCCCCAGGCAAAGGCCACGCAAGGTCTGAAAGGAGGCTTAAGTACTATTATAAGACCAGGTGATACCACTGATGGGAAGAGAGAAAATAAGGCACATAAGATCTTGAGGACTCTTCAGAGACTCCTGGTTCCAACCCTGAAAGAAACCTTCCTTCCTAACGCAACAGTCGGCCAACTTAAGCACGAGGCCTCTCTCTGCAAACGCTGCTTTACAAGCTGCTTTCAGCTTTAGAAGTTCGAGTTGTCTTTTCTAAAATGCCAAAATATTTAATGAGACAGACGATTATTTCGTGTGCTGCCTAACAAATTACGCTAAAACTAACCAGATTGTCTGCAGTGGCTGAGCTGCGAACAGGCAGCCAAGGGATACGACACCGCATGATGGTTTTAGTGCTGTAACCACCTACCCCAAGGCCGGGGCAGCAAGAGGCACCGGGCGAGGAGGGCAGCACGGACGGGCTCCACTTGGCTCTGCAATAACCATCGCCAGGCTCAGGACGCAATCAACGGCATGGAGCTTTCTTATGAATGAATAAAATCCGTAGCCATTAAGCTGATTAAACAGCATTCCCATTTTGTCAGATGGGCTCTGTTAGTCACCTCCGAAAATGAAATCCCAAAATGCGAAACGTGCATTCCCAGTGACATCAACAGGCTGTGAGATAGCTTTAATTGAAAGTAACTGATGGAATATAATGCCACGTTTATCTCGGTGCAGGTGACACAAGGCACATAGCGAAATGTTTTAACAAATGTTTTATTTAAAGACAGACTTGAAAAGTCTGTGGGAGTAATTGCCAGTTTGTCAGCTGAATCACTTCATCCTTTGGAAGAGTTTTTTGTCATTATATTAGATGATTCCTGATGTCAGTACAGGCCAATTTACAGGATAAATGCACCTCAGTGTCACTGCATTCCATTAATGAATATTAAAATATATTCTGGGTCTTGTTCTACTAAATTGTTATTGTTCGTATATTGATGGGCATGCTATCAAATAACACATACATTGAAAACCTGTATTTGCATGATAAAAATAAGATATTTTTGCAATTCCCCTTTCCTTCCCATACATAAAAAAACATAGTCTATTCATATTAATTTCTTGGTATGAGAAAATACATAGTGTGCTGAAGTCTTAATCCTGCATAAAAATTGCTGTTTAACTTAATGGGATTGTCTGACTGGAACAGCAAGCAGAACCGGACCCTCCGTGCTCCATGGGCAGTATTTACATAATGGATATTAGGCTGGGATATCACCAAATGCAGGCTATCTAAACAATATTTCTAATCATTGTAAATCAATCCAGTACTCAGATTTATAAAATACTTGCACTCCCTTGAAAAAGACCTTCTGCTTCCATTTAGAAGACTCACATACATTAATCTTCAAAATGTGCTATCGCTCTCTGCAACCATGTGAACGCTGGAGTGAAATAAAACTCAAGAATGGTGTTAGAGCCCTGTCAATTAACTGAGCAGACCTGCACGGGGCCACTGCATCAATTAAAACACGAGGAGCTTCCTTGCCTTGGGAAAATACTTTAATCCGCATGCAGCTGGATTATTCATGCATCTCTTTGCAAGAAGCATGAGCGTGAGCAACTTGCACAGATTTCTGTAGGAGATACTGCAGCTCGTATTTTCTGTAGGAGGTGAGCAGCAGGGAGCTGAACAAGAAATATATGAATCATCTTACGACTAAAATCTATATATGACTGCCTCCTCATAGGAAATAAAATTACCTGGCAATTTAACCAGCAGTGTGGGTTTCTGAAAACTTTGTACAAAGTTTGTTTGAAGAAGCCTCACAGTTTCAAGTCGCAACAAGAATATTCTTTTCTAAATATATTCTAAGCATTGATCTGAACAAAATCCAAATTGGGGAATTAAGTATGAAAAATAAAAAAGTAAGAATTAAATCAGAGCTATCATTTAAAACAACTAAAACTTCTGTGAAGTCCTTCCCTGGTTCCGACCGGCTGCTGTTTCTACAATCAGGGTTTGTCATTGAATATATTTTTAAGCCTTCCTGTGTTTAAGCCCATGTGATCGCTAAATGAATCCCTTCTTCCCCACACTCTTTGGATAGTGCCTGCTAAACTCATGAATGAAAAGCTTTGTCCTCTCTCCACTTTTTAAATGATTGGGGAAGAATCCCTGTGGACCCATGTGCTCCCGCTCCACGCCAGCCCCATGGGGATCAGCCCAATTCCCGTGTCGCCAACAGAGCAAGGCAGCCAGGGGCATGGAGAGCTTTGGAGAGGGTGATGCTCATCCCTCGTTTGGAGCATGCTCTTCCCAGGCCGGTCCTAGACCTGCGGGATGGTCACCGCTGCCCCGATCACGTACAGCTCGCTACGAGGCAGCCCAGGATCTTCCCAGCACCAAGGGCACAGCCTTGCTACGGGAGATGGCTGCGTCTGAACGCTATAGAATTACTTGCAACATTGCATATTTATTTTAATTTCATTTCAGCCTCGTCACCCCCGTTTTGTGTAGTTCTCAATGCGTACAGAGCAGGTCAATACCAGGGAAAGGACGAGGGCTCAAGGAGCCCTTCCTGGGCAGCCCGCGAGGCGCCCGCTCGCTCCCGGGGCCGCACCGGGTCCCAGCCCACTCCTCTCACACACTTCAGAGTAATTTGCATGTTTTTCATTTTCAGTGAATTATTTAACATGACTCAAAGCTTACATTAGACAGGATATTGTTTCTATTTGATGGGGAAGTTGAATTTTTCTACCTGGAAAGGGACCAAACCCCATTCACAAATGCACTAGGTCTCTCTCTCTCTTCCAAAGCAAATTAAACATTTTTGACTCGGGAGCTGTGGCTTCTGATGCTTCTCATCAAGAAAGCATTTTAGGGATGTCCAAATGCCCACTTCTTCCCTGGGTTACCAAGGAGAACGCTAACAAGCTCTTTTAGCCGTTTCTAAAGGGTTTCTAAAGCCGTTTCTAAAGCCAAGTTTTGATTCCATGTGGATATGGGAGAACGTCTAAACTCTAGCAAAGTTTATCTCAGTTTTGCATGCAAATAACCCCCCC